TAACCAATGTCATAAAACAGCATGTGTGTTACTGTTACATGAGAAACTATCTGTTCTGTAAGCCTTCACCTGAAGTACAATAAAATATTTAAAAAAAAAAAAAATATGTGTCAGCTTAGCTAGGCCATGATTCCCAGTATTGTGTGGTTGTCCTCCATTTTGTGATCTAATTGTCTTACGTGTTGTAAATCCTAATTTCTGCCTGTGGTAAATGAGGCAAGATTAGGTTATGTTAAAGAGGATTAGGGTGGGATGCAACACCCTTATTCAAGTCATAGCCCTGAGCCAATGTAAGGGGAGTTTCCCTGGGGTGTGGCCTGCATCACCTTTTATTTTACAAGAGATAAAAGGAGAGAGAAGCAAGCAGGGAGAGAGAAACTCCTACCATCAAGAAAGAAGAGCCAGGAGCGGAGTGCGTCCTTTGGACCTGAGAACCTCCTAGACCTGCGGAAAGTTTGATGCCCCAGAGCCGACAGAGAGAGAAAGCCTTCCCCTGGAGCTGGCGCCCTGAATTCGGACTTCTAGCCTCTTAGATTGTGAGAGAATAAATTTCTGTTTGTTAAAGCCAACCATTTGTGGTATTTCTGTTATAGCAGCACTAGATCACTAAGACAAGGACCAAGGATGGAAAGCAGGGACTATTGCTGGGTAGTTGGAAAATAGTTAAATTTTATTTTCTTTTTAAGTCCATACTGTCTAAATTTCCATAATAAACCTCAGCTTTTCTTTCAAATTGGAGTCCCTTAAGTGGTGCAAACAGTTAACGTACTTGGCTGCTAACCAAAAGGTTTGAGGTTCAAGTCCACCCAGAGATGTCTCAGAAGAAAGGCCTGGTGATCTACTTCCAAAAAATTAACCACTGAAAACCCTATGGGGCACAGTTCTACTCTGACACACATGGGTTGCCATGAGTGGGCGTTGACGCCACAACCACTTTTTTTCCTTTTAATTATGCAAAGGAATCAAAGTCATCATCTGAGAGAGACTAGCAACTGGAAAATCCAGAATAACTGGCAGCTTACAAAACCTTGGATCCTGGCAGGTAACAGTTGAAATTAATCAGAATCCTTGTGACCCCTGAACTCCACTCCCAGTTGTCACTGCCAACCCCCCACCACCCTGCTCTGCTGCACACCCAGTTCCTGCCAGAATGAGCCCAAACTTGGGTCTCTCTGACCCTCCCCAGTTAGCTACACTTGGAAATAATTGCTGGGTTCGCAACAACCTCTCTCAGACAGGCAGATAAGCAACCTCTGCAGCAAGAAGGATTGAGGGTAGAGGGTAGATCCTGGGGGACTTCCAGGCTTAGGGAATGTTGGGGAGGTGGGGCACTGGAAACCCCTCCAGGGAACATGCACTTCCCTCAAGAAGGGTCACAGCATGGTCCGCAGAGGTGGGGCAAGTTCTAAGACAAGGTCAACAGTAATAATCACAACAGCAACAATAACAGATACCATCTGCTGCATGCTGGCAGGGCCTCTTCATAAGGCATCTCGTGACTCCTCCCGACAACCCCATGACATGGGGGTGTTTGTCCCCATTTGCCAGAGGAGGAAGCTGAGGCTCACAGAGGCGAAGTCGTTGGCCCGAGATCCCAGAGCCAAGAGGTTGTTGTTGTTGCTAGGTGCCGTCGAGTCAGTTCCGACTCCTAGCAACCCTATGTATAACAGAACGAAACACTGCCCCGTCCTGCGCCAGCCTCACAATCATTGTTATGCTTGAGTCCACTGTTGCAGCCACTGTGTCAGTCCAGCTCATTGAGGGTCTTTTCCTCTTTCGCTGGCCCTCTACTTACCAAGCATAATGCCCTTCTCCAGGGACTGGTCCCTCCTGATACATGTCCAAAGTATGTGAGATGTAGTCTCGCCATCCTTGCTTCCGAGAAGCATTCTGGGTGTACTTCTTCCAAGACAGATGTGTTCATTCTTTTGGCAGTCTATGGTATATTCAATATTGTTCACCAACACCACCATTCAAAGGCATCAATTCTTCTTCGGTCTTCCTTATTGGTCGTCCAGCTTTCGCATGAATATGAGACGATTAATACACCATGGTTTCGGTCAGGAGCACCTTAGTCTTCAAGGTGACATCTTTGCTTTTCAACACTTTAAAGAGGTCTTTTGCAGCAAGCAGATTTGCCCAGTGCAATGGCAGAGACAAAATGAGAACTGGCTCACCAGCATGTAATAGGGCCGTGTTATGTAAGTCTGCTCTTGTTCAGTCTACCCGGCCATGCCGCCCCTTGACAGGGTTCCAAGTTGGAGTTTTTCACTCAACCCAATTTGGAGACTCTGGAAAATGGCTTCACCTCTGAGAATCTGATGATGTGTGTCCAGGAGACAGATTGTTATCGATTGAATTGTGTCTCCCCAAAATGTGTGTTGGAATCTTAACCCCTATACCTGTGGATGTAATCCCATTTGGAAATAGATAGAGTCTTCTTTGTTATGCTAATGAGATCATATCTGTGTAGGGTGTACCATTAAACCTAATCACTTCAGAGTTATAAAAAGAGCAGATTAGGCAAGAGACCAGAAAAATTCATTGCCATCTAGTCGATTCTGACTCATAGTGACCCTATAGGACAGAGTAGAACCGTCCCATAAGGTTCCAGGGCTGTAATCTTTATGGAAGCAGACTGCCACATCTTTCTCCTGCAGAGCAGCTGGTGGGTTCAAACCGCCAAACTTTTCAGTTAGCAGCTGAGTGCTTTAACCACTGTGCCACCAGGGCTCTTGCACAGAGACAAGTGAGCACAAAAGGGGAGAGATACACGCCATGTGGAAGCTCCAGGGAACATCAGAGAAGCTGAGATAAGGATTTTCCCCCAGAGCAGCCAGAGAGAGCCTTCCCCTAGAGCCGGTGACCTGGATTTGGACTTCTGACCTCCAAAGCGTGAGAAAATAAGTTTCTGTTCGTTAAAGCCACCCACTTGTGGTATTTCTGTTATAGCAGCGCTACGAAACTAAGACAGGCAGAATCAAACACACACGTATTGCTACTGATGCAATCGCTCCTCGGATTCGTGTTCTCTCTTCCTACAGGTCCAGAAATCTCACCGGGGGAAAAGCGTAGCACCCCATCTCAACCCACCTCTCAGGTTCCTGACCGTCGCTGTCCAATAACACTGTCTGTGGTGATGGGAATGTTCTACACGCCTTCCAGGATTGTAGCCCTGGCTACATTAGGAAAGGAGCTTGGTGGTGCAGTGGTTAAGTGCTCAGCTGCTAAACAAAATGTTGGCGGTTCAAACCCACCCAGCAGCACCAGAGGAGAAAAGACCTGGTGATCTGCTCCTGTAAGATTACAGCCTAGGAAAACCCTATGGGGCAGTTCTACTCTGTTACGTGGGAGTCACTATGAGATGGAATTGACTCAACAGCACACAATGACAACAAGCCACGTTAGCGTTACTGGCTATTGAGCCCTTGAAAGTGCCTGGTTTGCACTCAGCTACTAACCGAAAGGTTGGTGGTTCAAACCCACTCAGCAGCACTGAGGAAGAAAGGCCTGGCAATCTGCTTCCGTAAAGACAACAGCCAAGAAAACCCTATGGAGCTCAGTTCTACTCTGTAACACATGGGGTCGCCATGAGTCAGAATCAGCTCGACAGCAGTGGGTTTGGTTGTTTCGGTTAGTTGGGGGAACTACATTTTTAATGAGTTCCATTTTAATTCATTTAAATGTATATTTAACGGTGAGTTTCTGTGCACGGAGATGGGAAATTGGGCAACAATTAGGGATGGTGGTTGCACAATATGATTACTCTAGTTGATATCCCTAAATGCTACGCCTAAAAATGTCAAAAGGGTAAATGTTGTGTTATACATATTTTTTACAACAATTTTAAAAATTATTCAAAAAACCAAAAGAGCTCATTACAATAATAAATAAATAAAAACGTGTACTTAAATGGCCACATATGGTTAAAAACCATGGTATCAGACAGCATAACCCTAGGCCCTTCATCACCCAAGTTCTGTCCCAGCAGAGCTCAAAACCAGGCACAACTGAGCCTGCCCACCTCTCAGCTGCACCTGCCCCCTCCCACTGGCCCTCCACTCCCCGGGATTTGCACCTTGGCTGCTGTCTCAGCCTCCACACCTTTGCATGAGCTGTTTGCTCTTCCTGCTCCACCTCGCCGCATCACACCCCATCATCTGCCTCATTCTTGCTCCTCAGCTCCCATGTTGCCTCCTCCAGGAAGCCCTCCCAACCTCAGGCTGGGTCAGGTGTCCCCTTGGGCTCCTCCATCCCAGCCCGGATCACTCTGAGTCATCACTGTCTGGGGATGGGTCTGTCTCCCCAGAGGCCTGTGAGTCCCACTATGGGCTGAGGCCCGGGAAGGAGCTACCTCAATCACCACCATGTCCCCAGCACCGCCTGGCACAGGGCTGAGCACAGGAGCATGTGGTGGAATGAATGATTGCACAGAGAGATGCTTTTGAAAAACCACACTGAGAGCTTTACAGTGAGCAGCCATGGGTCATGGCCCACCTCTCCCAACTAGTGGTAGACTTGCTTTTCCTTGAACCTCAGTTTCCTCATCTGTGAAATGGGAACGGTTGTGTACGGTGGACACTGAATGAGGTAGTATGTGTTGGGTCTGCCTGGTGCAGGCGGATTGCTCAACTCGAGGCCGCCATGACGGCTGTTATAATTACTGCTGTTGTCACTAACAGTCACTCTGAGTGGGAAGAAAAGGTTGAGGGGTGAAGGGAGGAGTTCTGGGAAGCCTCAAGAAGTTCCCTAGTCACCCTGGGAAACTGGTTCAACCAGAGTCTGCGCTCCCAGCCCGGGGAGCACAGGTGGAGTCTCCAGAGCCTGTGGAAAGGAGGTGCTGAGGCTGGGTTGGCCTCAGACTTGTCACAGAGGCACCCACAGGACCTCCACTGAGCTGATCCATTTCAGACAGCCAGGGCTCAGCCCCTCTGGCCCCTCAGTGTCCAGCGAGTGTCCCCGTGGCATCTATAGGACACCAAGATGGAGATTTCCAGGAGAGCCCAGGGCTGCTTCTCCAAGGACCTGCTACTCTCAGGTAAGGAAGAAACATACACCCAGGGCTGAGTGGGGGAAGGTGGGACTCAGCCCCAGTGGCTGAAGTTTCCTCTTGGAAGAGGGGAAAGATTGTAAAGAATTGAAATTATTAGAGTGAGGGGCAGGGAGGAGGCAGTAGAATCACAACACCATCACCATTCTATCTATGGAATTTTCTAGAATGTCGGGACTCTAAGGGCAGGAATTTATTTGTGTTTGGTTCCCTGCTATATCCCCAAACCCCAAACCCATTGCCGTCAAGTCGATTCTGACTCATACTGACCCTATAGGACAGAGTAGAATTGCCCCATAGGGTTTCCAAGTCTGTAAATCTTTACAGAAGCAGACTGCCACATCTTTCTCCTGCACTATATCCCCAGTGCCTAGAAATCCAGGGAACTTATAAGCATATTCTATGTAATGTATACAACTGGTATCATATCATATATAATTTATACACCTGACCACTGTCTGTCAGTGGAGGTTTGCATGTTGCTATGATGCTGAACAGGTGTCAGCGGAGCTTCCAGACCAAGACTGACTAGGAAGAAAGGCCTGGTGATCTACTTCCAAATATCAGCCAATAAAGCCCTATGGATCACAGCGGAAATTGTCCAGTCTGCAACCAATCATGGGAATAGTGCAGGACCAGGTAGCATTTCCTTCCATTGTGCATGGGGTCGCCATGAGTCAGGGCCAACTCCATGGCAGCTGACAACAACAAGTATTGGTTGAATGAATGAATAACTGAATTCAGAAAGTCCAAGTGTTTCAAAGCAGGCCACACAGCACCTCAGGGCAGACACCTTCTGGGCCAGTGGAATGATAAATCTGTGGCATTCATGTCTGTGTTTTCCCCTCCTGCACCCAGGGCATACATCACTAATCAATCCCAGCACTGTTTCCAATGAGCAACACTCAGAGGGCCTATAGGGAGGAGAACACTGCGGTCCCTGTTTGACACCCCCAATCTCAGGCCTCCCCTGTAACTCTCCACAGTCTCAATCCTGGCCCTCTGGACCCTCCAAAGCTCTCAGGCGGCCCTCCACATCCAGAAGATTCCAGAGCGGCCTCTAAAGAACCAGGACCTCCTCCTGTCCGTCCAGGGCATCCCAGACACCTTCCAGGACTTCAACTGGTACCAGGGCGAGGAGACCTATGGCAGCACAATGCTGTTCTCCTACATTCTAGGGTTAAAGCGGCCCCAGAGGGATGGCAGTGCCATGAGGCAGCGCGACATTGTTGGCTTCTCCAATGGCTCCATGCTGCTGCGCCGTGCCCAGCCCAACGACAGTGGCATCTACCAGGTGGCTGTTACCATCAACCCCTCCTGGACCATGAAGGCCAAGACTGAGGTCCAGGTGGCCGGTGAGTGTTGGGGATTGAGGGAGGAAGTGGGGGGCTAATGCACCCTGAGCACCTACCATGTGCCAGGTCCTGTGCAAACACCATCTCATTGATCCTCTCATTCATCCATTCAACACATATGAATTGAGCGCCTACTGTGTTCCAGGCCCTGAAGATACACAGTATTGTTTAATCCTCTGAAGCATTAATTGACAAATAAAATTCTATTGAGTGCCTACCTTATGCCAGACATAGGGCCAGACCCTGGAGAATGCACTCTGTCACATACTCCTCACACGCATTAATCAAGCAAGTATTTATTGAGTACCTACTGTACGCCTGGAGTCCCTGGGTGCTACAAACAGTTAACATGCTCGGCTGCTAACCGAAAGGTTAGAGGTTCAGTCCACCCACAGGCATCTTGGAAGAAAGGCCTGGTGATACACTTCCAAAAAATCATCCATTGAAAACCTTATGGAGCACAGTTCTACTCTGATACACGTGGCGTCCACGTGAGTTGGATTCAACTCAAGGTCAGCTGGTGGTTTTTTGGGTTTTTTTTAACGTTATTTAGTGCTTATTACATGCCAGCCTTTCATATATTAACTAATATAATCCTCACAGCAGCTCTGGGAGGTGGGTGATATTATGAGACCCATTGTACAGATGAGGAAGCCGAGACACACAGAGGTTCCCAGGGTCCCATAGCTGTAAAGAAAATTAAACAGGAAGTTATGACACAGAAAGGGAAGCCGGGAAGGGCCTCTCTGTGGAGACGGCATTTGAGCAGAGGCTGAAAGGAGGCAAAGGAGTGGGGAAACCATGTGATTTCTAGGGGGAGAGAGTTCCAGGCGGAGGGAACCGCAAGTGCAAAGGTCCTGAGGCTAGACTAGCTTGGTGTGTTCGAAGCATAGACAAAAGAACGCATGGCTATAAGGTGGTGAACAAGGAGGAGGGTGTTAGGAGGTGAGGTCTGAGGCATGTGGGAACCAGGCTTGCAGGTCAGGGGGAGGAGTTGATGAGAAGCCACTCCAAAGACCAAACCAGTTGCCACCAAATCAATTCCAACTCATGGCACCACCACTGTGCCACCAGGGCTCCTTAGCTGCCTCCTACAGACAATAAATTGCTCACTTATTCATTCCTTCATCAAACTCTTCCCAAGTGCCTCCGCTGCATCCAGCCTGCACTGGGCAATGCTGGGGACACAGAGGTGACCCAGACAGCCTGACCTTGCTCTCTTAGCGCTCACAGCCCCGTGGGGAAGACAGACGTCAACTAAATAATCACACACCAAAAAAGAGACCATTATGAACAGTGATAAGCGCTTCAAAGGAAAATACAGGGATTATGAGATTATACAAAGAAGAGCACAGTTCTCGGCTGACACACAGGGGGTCGCCATGAGTTGGGGTGGATTTGACGGCAATTGGTTTGGAGTCTCAGGGGAAGTTGCCTGGGAAAGCCTGAAGGATGAGTGGCTGTTCTAATTACAGGAAACAAGGTGTCCGGGCAGAGGGTTCAGCCTGTGCAAAGGGCCTAGGGCAGGAAACTGTAGGTCTTTGAGCACAGCTGGCAGGAGGCCAGCGTGGCTCAGCAGGAGAGCAAGGAGAGGCACCCCTGAGGCCAGCGCCAGACAGCCAAGGCTCGGGCTTTAATGACAGAAAACCAAAACCCAGTTGCTGTTGAGTCAGTTCTGACTCCTGGCAACCCCATATGTGTCAGAGTAGAACTGGGTTCTCTAGGGTTTTCAGTGGCTGTGATATTTTGAAAGCAGATTGCCAGGTCTTTCTTCCAAGGCACCTCTGGGTGGATTCGACCCGCCAATATGTAGGTTAGTAGCGGATCACTTGACCAATTTCCCCAGAAGCTCTCTCTAATTGGCTCAAAGTGCGGGGCACCTTGTGGAACCCCACGGGCAGCCCCTGGGTGTCAGCTCCATGGGGGCCAGCTTTCTGTCTGGTTCACAGCTGTTTCTTCAGAGTCTAGAACAGGGCCAGGCACACTGTTGAATTGAATGGATGGCTGGGAAGCCCAGCAGGGCCTGGTGGGAAGTGGGAGTGTTTTGGGAAAGGCATGGTGCTCATTCCCCTCCAGGGGGCGCCATTCCTGGTCTTGGCACTGTTCTGGGTTCCATTCTCCGCTCCCTGACATGGGTCTCCCACTGTGATACTGAACAGGGTTTCAGCCCAGGCTTCTTTGCATATTCAGAATCTCTTCTTCCAAAATGCAGAGATAGTGAAAAGGGGAGTGGAGAGCGACACAGACAGACAGAGAGACCAAGAGAGAATGTGATTGGCCCAGCCTGGGCTGTGGGTTGCTTCCCCTGAGTCAGGGGTGCACACCTCACCCAAGATGTGGGATCAAGATGGGGGGTGGGGGCCTGGGGAGCCAGGCTGGGAAGGTGACAAAGACTCAATGCCTGCCATCGCTAGTAAAACTCATAATATATATTTATTATCATTCCTGTTCACCATTCATGCTCCAGTGCCTAGAATTTCACTTGGCACACAGTAAAAAAAAAAAAAAAAATGCCATTGAGTTAATTCCAACTCATGGTGACCCCATCCATATGTGTCAGAGTAGAACTGTGCTCCATAGGGTTTTCAATGGCTGTGGTCTTTTGAAAGTAGATCACCAGGCCTTTCTTCTGAGGCACCTCTGCGTGGACTCAAACCTTCAACCTTTCAGTTAGCAGCTGAGCGCGTTAACCGTTTGCACCACCCAAGAATTTCTGGCACACATTTAAAAAACCAAACCAGTTGCTGTTGAGTCAATTCCAACTAATGGAGACCCCATGTGTTTCAGAGTAGAACTGTGCTCCATAGGGTTTTCAATGGCTGTGACTATTTGGAAGTAGATCACTAGGCCTTTCTTCCAAGGCACCTCTGGATGGATTTGAACCACCAATATGTTGGTTAGTAGCCAAGCACTGAACCATGTTTCCACCCGAGGACTGCTTGGCACACACTAGGCACTCAATAAATATTTGTGGAACAGACCCTTGAATAATTGTTAACGTCTCCCATCTATGGAGCACTAACTACATGTCCAGCACCTCCGAGCTAAGCGTTTTGCCGACCTCACTCATTCCTACCCCACAAGAACCCTATTGTAAAAATGGCATGGCGTCAGACGGCCTCTAACTTCAAGAGGAGGAGAGAGAATCAAGACCAACATCGGCCCAAGGCTGATTCCTCTGAGGTGGAGGTCAGACATACCTCCACCCTCCAACCTTTTCAGCAGTTCTGACACCAGCCATCCCTCCCACGTAGAGCCATCTCCTCCACTTCTCTGCTGGGTTCAGTAATTCTTTGCAATGGCCACATAGAACTCACAGACCATACTCACAGTTATAGGGTTTATTACAGAAGTAACAGGTTACAATTCAGGTTCAGGAACACTCAGGATACGTTCTTCAATCAGGACAGCTTCTAATCAGCCATGCTTGCGGGCATGCCTCTCTCTGGCCCTCAGCATGGCCTCTGCCCTGCTCGGGCAAGTGTTACAAAGCTCTTTTAGCTCTGCCAATAAGCACCCAGAGGTACCCAACTCTGCCAGTAAGCCTCGGCCCAAAGGTGCTCAGCTCTAGCTCTGTGGTTTAGCAAATCTAGCTCCACCGAGTGCCCAGAGGCACCTATTCCACACTAGCAAGCCTCCTGCCCAAAGATACTCAGCTTTCTCACTCTTTGGGCCAGGAAGTTCACCATGCCGTCTCCTGCTAGTTCCAGGAGCTCCTCAGAGTAGTGATCCCACAACCAAAGGACGCACTCCACTCCCGGCTTTTCTTTCTTGGTGGTGGTAAGATCCATTCTGTGTTCTGGAATTGGCTGTCTTTTAAGCCTAGAGGAATGGCAAAACTGACCAATCCCCTCATTAAGGTTCCATACACCTTATTTGCATGGTCCCACCCTCACAAGTGTGCCATGCACTTTATTTACATTATTAGTAAGTTAATCCAATCCCCTTGGCGGGTCACAAGCACCTCATTTGCATAGTCCCACCCAGTCATTTGGTGGGAGTTACAAAGACTATGGCTAGAAGGGCCATGTTAAGTAATTCACTGCACCACAACAGGTTACAGTTCAGGATCAACCTGGAAGTAACAGGAACAACTCGGGATACAGGATACAGTTCTTTGATCGGGATAGCTTCTTCTTGGCCGTGATCACAGGCAGGACTTTGCTGCCGGGCCCTGCTCACGCCTGGCCTCTGCCCTCAGCCCTCACCCTGGCAAGTGTTACAAAGCTCTTTAGATTCACTGATAAGTACATGGAGGCACCCCACTTCACCAGTAACCTCAGAACGAAGGTGCTCAGCTCTAGCTCCGTGGGTCGGCAAACCTAGCTCCACCAAATGCCCAGAGGCACCCTACTCCATCAGCAATCCTCCTGCCCGAAGGTGCTCAACTCTCTCGCTTTGTGGGCTGGGAAGCCCACCACGCTGTCTCCTGCCAACCTTCTTACCTGTGCTGCCACCATTTCTCTGCCACTGCTTCTCTCCATCTTCGATGTTACAGCTCTCTCTCTCTCGGAATCATGGTTCCAGGAGCTTCTAAGTGCAGGGATTCTGGGTCCAATGGCGGACTCCTGGTTCTTCTTTCTTGGTTGTGGTGAGATCCTCTTCCCACCTCTGGGATGGCTCATTTTAAGCCTAATAGGATGGCAAGATTGACCAAACCCCTTATTAGGGTTCCACATACCTTGTTTGCATGGTCCCACTCAATCACGGTGTGTGAGTCAGAGACTATGGCTAGAAGGGACGTATTAAGTTATTCACTGCACCGCTATCTCATGTAATGGTAAAGTTTAACATCAAAATGAACATAATTTTGATATAGTCTTAAACATTTTTACTTTGAATTCTATTGTTTTCTTACCAGATTTTCACTTCAACCACATGAAACTATGTAAATGTGAATACATTTAGGCTGTGGTTATGATATTGTAATTTAAAAGTGTAATTTTAATTTTGCTACACATTTATGTCACTACTATTGCCATTATATTCAGTGATATATG